CGCCTGTGCCCACTTGGGCACCATGCCTACCCCTCGCCTACGTGGGGCTGTCGCTCCACTTGCCCCACCCCCCGCGCTGCAACTCCCTGTCTGTGGTCAGCCCAGCAGTGCCCACCCACTACCGCCTCGTCTGAAACAGGCCTCTTGCACCCCAGGACAGGCATGGATCCGTGATAGGACGGGGAGGCCTCTCTTCAGAGCGACCTGCTGCTGGGCTGTGGGGGCCGGGACACCCTCTCTGCCTCTGCCTGAACTCTCCCTTAGTAAGAGGCTGGCGGATCCTCAGGAGCAGCCGCCCTTGGCTTGTGTTCCCAGCCTGCTCCCCTAAGCCCCCCAGCCTCAGCAACCCTGTCCTTGACCAAGTCCCCAGTGACCCTGCTGAGTGCCATGGACACTTCTCTGGCCTCGGCCTGCCCGTCCTGCCCCCAGCATCTCCTCCCAGGAACACCTCCGGCCCTGGGCACCTCTCCTGCCCCCTGGCTGCTCGTCCCCACCTGGCCCCCCTGTGTCTCCCTGGCACCGGAACACTGGTGGGCCCCAGGGCTGGGCCTGACTCGGCATCCACCCGTCCACCGGTGGCTTATGGGCATCTCCCACGCCACGCGGCCAAACCTGCACCCCCACCCCATCTCCACCCTGCTGGGCACCTAGGCCATCCCTGGCCACTCTCCTCACCCACACCCTGTCCCTCCACCTGCAGAATCCGGGCCCCTCTCACCTCCTCCAGAGCCCTCCCTGGGTCTAGGCCCCTGCCCTCCTGGGTTAACAGGGGCCTCCTCACTCTCCTGCCCTGGCCCTAAGGCCTACCCTCCACATGGTGGCCCAGGCAATCCCACCCCCGAGAAAAGGCCAGCATCCTGATGGTGGCCCCGAGGCTGCTGGGATCTGACTGCTGCCACCCAGGCCCTGTGATGCTCCCCAAACACAAGAGGCTCGTTCCCTCCTCAGGACCCCGCCAGTGCTGGTCCATCTGTCTGCAGTGATCTTTCTGTGCACCTCTGAGGCCCCCAAACTGCCAGAAAACCTTCTTGGCCCTACTCCCCAAGGCTCCCCCTGTGCATAAGCAGCCTTGAGGACAGGGGGCTGAGAGGGGACCTGAAAGCCAGAGAGAGCCCCTTGAGGGGGCCCCACCACACTGTGGCACTGACATGGGTCAAAGAGAACATGCCCAACAAGACAGCAACATAGACAAACGGGGACCCGGGGGACAGCACATGCACAGCTCTGCAACACTCATGTGTCAGAGTTCCCTGGCAGCCAAGGCAAGAAGAGAAACAGCACACACGTCCCCAGGTAAAGGAATGTTCCGAGCACAGGGGCCTTTGTCCTCGCAGAGGACCAGGAACCCAGAAACATGAGTGCCTGAGTCAGAGGGGAGTCAGCCTCCCAGTCACCCACTCATCCGTCCGGGTTTTACTCACCATTCGGGTTGGTGGTGTTGTCCCAGTCCCAGGCCTCCACGATGAGGGTGAACGAGCGCTGTGGACACAGGGAGGGGGCCAATTAGGTGCCCGAGGCCCCCACCTGCCTGCCGGGACAGCGGAGGGTGGCGGCCCACTGGGGCCCTGCCACACCCCTTGGCCCAGCTCCCCCCTCCCCAGTGGTTCCGATTGTGTTCCCTGAGTCTGTCAGGGCTCTGGCCTCTCTTACCAGCCAAGGACCCTCTTCTCTCCCCACCTCATACCCTCAGGCCAAGTGTCCTTGGGGAACCCACCAACGGCAGCAGCTAACGAGTGCTCAGCACAGAGGAGGGAAGCCACACCCCCAAGGCCTTGTGGGCTTAGGGAGGCTGCTTGCCCTCGGGGCCCAGCAACCCAGGCAGGCCAGCCATGAGCCCAAGAGGGAACTGGGCAGAGAAGTGGGCAGCAGGGTCAGGCGGGGGGCCTGGGCCCGAAGGGTGCCTAGAGGGGACCCCCCCACCCCGCCTGGCTGGGGTCTGACCCCTGGTGGAGAACACCAGGCCCTGCTCCCAGCCCCTTGAGAGGAACAAATGCCCCGGCACACCCCCGCCGCCCCCTGGCCGAGAGCGCACCCACTGCGGCCCCCCGCACCGAGCTTCCACACCTCGCCACCCTGGGCCATGCCCCTGAGCAGGTACACGGCACACAACGCACAGCCCAGGAGCCCCGAGAACAGGAAAGGGGCAGGGTGGGGCCTGTGGGGTACACATGGGGAAACTGAGGCCAGGACAGGCCACACAGCCATAGCCTGATAGTGGCCACCCCCTCCCTCCCAGGACCATCTGGCCCTTGTGCCCCAGGCGGCCGTGATGGGGTGATGCTGTCATCCCATCGCCTGAGCAACCCCAGGGCCCGCCTGTCTGCCAGCGAGGTAATCCGAGCCCGCTGGCCTCGGAGCCCCTGTCTCCACAGGCACGGGCGGAGGGCAGGAGGGGCGGAGGGCAGGAGGGGCGGAGGGCAGGAGGGGCGGAGGGCAGGAGGGGCGGCAGTATAACCTGGAGCTGAGCCGCTATCCACGTGCTCCACCCATCCTCGGCCCAGTCCTGAAGGCACTGCGACCCTCCCCTGGGGCCTGGTTCCCCCACCCTGGGCTGGGGTCACGGGCAGGGCCAGGTCTAGGCCACCTTGGGGGCAGTAGTCTGCCAGCCCTCCCAAGGGGACAATGCCTTAGGGGCATCTGGGTGAGGCCCCCATTATTTCAGCCCCAGAGACCATGGCTGTTTCCTGGAAACCACACCACTCTCCCCCTCCAGGGCCCCACCCCGGCCAGACCCCAGCCCACCCGCTGCCTGCCAGCACTCCATCTACCCCACCACCCCAGGCCCCAGGACAGGTGGCCCCCTGCATCAGCCCCTACTCCCACCCAACCCACTGCCCTGCTGCCCCTGACCCCGCCTTCAGGGACCCCCACCTCCTGCCCACCCCCCAGCTCCAGGAGTACCTCCTCCCTCAGGCCCACCACACGCCCTCTCGGCTTCACTCACTGCTACATGTACGCTGGTGAACCGGGTGCCACCCCAGACCTCCCCTGAGCTCAGCCCCTGGGAATGACCCACAGCCCCTCCCACCCACCGAGAAACAGGCTGCACTTGAGCACCGTTCTCCACTCCCTCAAATCCACTCCCCTGCCCCACACCCCCCACCACCCCACCAGGCCACCAGCCTGCGCCAGGCCCTGCTCAGTCACTGAGGACAGCCTCTGCCTCCTGGCACTCAGGGAAGCGAGGGGTGGCCGCAGAGCATCCTGAGACAGCAGGGCTGCATGGAGAGCCAGGGCCGGAGGCCGTTCTGACCCGAAGCAGGGGGGGCCTGAGGACAGGCCGGTGGACGTGAGGCCACAGAGCGTGGAAGGAGCAGCGTAGTTTCTGGGGGCTCCAACTAGGAGGAACGGCACGGGCAAGGCCCGGGGGTGGTGATGAGGAACAGCAAGGGGGCCCACGTGGCCAGGAGCATGTGAGACAGAGGGCAGGAGGGTTGGGTCAGCTCCTAGAGGGCCAAGGGTGGGAACGGGCTCCGAGGGG